GGATGTTGGTATGGTACAAATTATTGAGACTTGTGTTGGAAGTCGCTTTTGTTTTCAAAAGAAAGGTTTTCAGCAACATTGAATGGTTAGGGAGTTTGTTTTCCAGTGGTATCATAGGGGAATTTCACGGTCAGAGAGGTTTGTTTGGTTCGGGTGGCAGAATGGTTGGTTATGTTGTTCCTGGTTGAAACATAAGGTTTGTTGGAGCCATATTGGCAAACAGGCTAGGAAGCTTTTTCCAGATAGACACTCGGTAGGAGTCTCATGCTATGGTCATGTGGGAGGTTGTCAGCCTCAACAACCGGCTAGAAACCCAATATTTCAATTAATTAGTAGGTAAGTACGACGCCAGGGAGATCTCGATTAGGTCAAAAGTGTGATTTTTGGACAACAAGATGAGACTGGGATGTTGGTATGGTACAAATTATTGAGACTTGTGTTGGAAGTCGCTTTTGTTTTCAAAAGAAAGGTTTTCAGCAACATTGAATGGTTAGGGAGTTTGTTTTCCAGTGGTATCATAGGGGAATTTCACGGTCAGAGAGGTTTGTTTGGTTCGGGTGGCAGAATGGAATTATTATAGTTGTGATGGAACGGTTCTGCCTATTTGGAAGACATACAAGGTATCAAATTTTCCCAAATTCAGATAGAACTATGATGGTTATACCTCATTAGTTAAAGTTAGTGGGTCAAGGCTTCATTCTTCATTAGGGTATGTGATCGTTGATAAGATTGGGGATTTGATAGCAAAAATGGAAGACAGGTATCTGCAAAAGAGGACTTCTCAGTCCTTATTAGTATCCAAGAAGTTCTGACATGATTTTTGGGTGTGGCAGAGTAAGTTGTAAGGAATGATTTCGAGGACGAAATCTAATTTAATTGGGAGAGAGTTGTAACACCTATGTCCCATATTGGATTAGATTTATATTCTCTAGGGCTAAGATGGAGTTTTTGGGAAAAACTATATGTCATGACATGGGGCAAGGATACCTATGACGTGGCATTGAATAAAAGGCATTTTTTGAGCTGCCATGACATGGCCAAAGATTGACACGGCGTGACAACTGCTCTGGCCCAAATCCATGACTCTTTTAGTGTTCCCTTCATATTTAAACCCCACTAAGTCATTTTAGGGTTGCTTATCAACCTCCATCGCCCTCAAGTTTGAGAAACCCTAACCTTAATTCCTCCATGTGAGTTATGAGTCCATTTTGATGACTTTGGTTGCTTATGAAGAAAGAAAATGCATTAGAAAGGATTGTAGTGCTTCTTGGCTGAAGTAAAGATCTCTTTTGGGCATCTCTATACCTTTGTAAGTGTCCAAGTTCCTTGCTTTATGGCTTTAAGTGGTTAGATCTAGAATATTGTCCCATGTTATTCATGTTTGAGCAAGTTTGGAAGAAAGGAACTCATAAATTTGGCAACTTTATTATTCTCCTGAGACCCATGAGTATCACATGTTATGGATCTAGACTTTGGTTTTAGTTCTTATATTTTTTTCATGAGTTTTGGTGATTTTTGGCTCATTTTGACCTAAAATGGATTCTTGACATGTTTTAGATATACATGTTTATAAATTTGCCACTTTTATGATAAATCTGGTATTATAAACCCTTCTGGAGTGGTGGTGTTAAGGACTTTTTCAGAATAAGAGCTTAATGGTTAAGACATTGTGGGATTAGGCTTTATTTGGACCTAGCGTTGGAGATCTTGATCTATTTAGCTGTCTTAATGGATAAAGTTTGAAACTTTATCTATTTAGATCATAGGATGGACCAGATCTAAGCTATGGAACTCTTGGAATCGAGGAAAGCGGATTAATCCATTAAGCTGCTGGAAACATAGTGCCCACGACGTGGCGACTGGGAACTTCCCGTATGTCTGGATTAATAAGGGCCACGACGTGGTGGTAAACTAAAGTCAACTTTGGTTATTGACTTTGACCGTTAACTTTTGGTATGGGTTGACTTTTGTCCAAATTTCTATATTTAGAAGGTAGACTTAGGGTTTGGGTTGTGTGGATTGTTAGGAGGTGTTTAATACCCATCTTTGGTAGTGAGAGCTGTTAGTTGTGGTCGATGCGACATTGAGCTAGGTTTTAGTTGACTTTATGATTCAAGTGAGTCTCCCCATTATACTTAGGGGTCAAAGGCACCAATGTCGACCCACTGCATTATGTTATGTAGAAAGACTAGGTGGTGACACCTGGCAATTGCATGAAAGACCTGTATATGGATCCCGACAAGTTGTATGCACGACCAGGGTCCGGACCTTAGTAGTTATATGTAGAATGCTAGTTGTCTTTTTGATACTTGCATGGAAGACTAGGAGGTGACTCTTGGCATGTGTTTGTAAGACCTGAGTTTTGGCCCCCGACTTGGCAGGTAAAGAACATTATACGACTCATGGAAAAATGGCAATTGTAAGACCATGGATGACACATAACAATCTCTATTGTATGTATGATATGTGGTATTTTGGGGAACTGACTAAGCTTTGTGCTTACGGTTTTATGGTTTTGATTTTAAGTACTTTTGGTTCTAAAGGGAATGGTTCGACGTGATTGCACTACATCTCCTAAATTTTTCCGCATTGACTTCTTATGATTTATACTCTGATGTTTACATGATGTATTCACTTTGGTTGGTTTTGAAACAACTTATTTGTATGGCTTATTGTTTTAAAAATGAAATTTTACTTGAATTTTTGGGACGTTGCATTTTCACTGCTATCTGTTACATTGGTCAAAAATTTCAAGGTTGATGACACACTAGAAGCTAAGTTTTCGGGTTCATAAAGCAAAAAGGTTTCTTTGCATTTTCATGCTTATTTTGGATTGTTAGTTTATTTACAAATTCACTTAGTGTCCGATAAAATATTTGTGTACCTTTGTGTTTGTTTATATATCTTTTGGAATGACTGATCGTATATGTTTTGTATTTTGTAAGGAGATGCTACCACAATGATTGACATGAAATATGATGAATTTCTATGGATTAAGGAATTAAAAATAGAGACTAAAATTTCACTAAGTCGTTTTGTTGTTCACATTAATTTATGTTTTGTTTACAACTTTTACATTTAGCAATGTCGTTACAACTTAAAACAATCATTTTAATGACTGGTTATAATTTTGATATACGGTGGCACACCAATATGTAATAAGTATTCAAATTGTTTTTCCCTTATAACTCCCATAAAAATGTCTATATTGTGTATATATTAACTTATGAAGATGTTAACGAAAATAATTAATAATAATTTTGATTTTTTTTGTGGTTTACTATACTCAGGTTTAAAGGTTATATATGTGATTTTGTAACAAATGATTATTTCCCAATACAATTTAAGTATATGAATATATTTTTCCATATAACCCTTATAAATATATTAGAATATAATTTAAGTATAGAATAGATTTTTCCACGTAGCCCTTATAAATATATTAGAATATAATTTTAAGTATATGAATAGATTTTTCCATATAACCCTTATAAATATATTAAAATATAATTGATACTTATATTTTTGAAATAAGAACAACATAAAGGATACAAAAACATAGCAAAATAAATTGTGTATATATTAACTTAAAAAGATGTTGATGGAAAATTAATAATAAATTTGACATTAGTTTTTTGGTGTAGTATATTGATGAACTAATATGTCATTAATATATTATAAGTTGTATAGATTAGATATAATTAAAATATTGATAAATATAAATTGTTAAAATAAATATATCATTATTAGTAACTTTAAATTAATAACTTTTATATTAATATATTATAAAACATTCTAAGTTCTTTATATAAATGATAACGTATATAAATAATAAAATCACATCATTAAAATCCGTTACTCGTAAGTTTGTTTGTATATGAATATAAAAATAAACTCAATTTAGATATATTTTAGAATGATATTATTTCAATAAAATATATTTATAGGTTATGTGTAAATTTGGAACTTCCATGTAATAATATTTTAGTTAAACTTTTATTATTTTTAAATAATTTTAGAACTATCTTTTGATGCTTGTTTTTGTATTTAACATTATATTTATACTGTTAATATTTTTAATTAATTTTAAACTATATATTTTGAAGAAAAAATGATTTAAAGAAAAATAAAGTATAGGTTTTAAATTCAAATTACGTATATCAAATTTATGTTTGAATTTAACATCTAATAATTTAATAAATTAAGTATATCATATTAAACATAAATGATTAATATTGAAATTACAATAATAATATATCTAATGTATAAATTTAAAAAGTAAATGAAAAGTGAGGTTTCAAATGAATATATGATAGTAAAATGACTTATTTTATAATAGATAATAGATAATAAATAATAAATTTCATATTTTATCATAATTTATATTTTTTAAACAATATTGATTTGTAACTTACACAACTTATAACCTGTTATATTATACATTTTAAATATTTTATATTAACTTAATAGTAAAATTATTATTTTATAATTAGTGATAATAAAATATTTTATTAAATTCCATATTAGTACAAATATTTACCTAGTTAGGTTGATGGGAACAGGGTCGTTCGAACCCTCACTAGCATCATTAGTACAATCCAAACAACGCCCCTAGCATGCGTTAAGGGTGGTGCTAAGCCTTACTTAGAGAGAGAGAGATAGAGATACAGCGAGAGAGAGAGAGTTGTGACTATTTTTTTTTCAAAACAAAACCATTCCTCATACTATCACTCTCTCTACATTTTATAACATTTACATTCTAAGCTTACCTGGCTATATAAAAACCTACATAACAATAAAAATATATGTTAAGAGTACTATCACCCTTATAACCAATATTTGTTAAACACTTTATATAAAGTCACGTTCAAGTATGCTTCAAACACTGTTCCCTCCAACGTTTGTAGGCTACACTTTTCCAAATAACTTTTTCGGTACCTCAAAAGGTACAACTAACAATGCACATATTACAAGTATAAATTCGAAGAATACCTTCGTCTCCACTCCAAAACCCAAATTCCCAAAATCAATCCACCATAAAACCATCGCTCTGATTCTTTCCCCTCCATTCAGTTCACATTTTCAAGCTCAGAAAACTTCACAATGTTAAAAATGTCGATCCTCTTAGCTCCTCTTTTCTTCCTTTGTTCTTCTGGTAAGCTCAAAGAAACAGAGTGCTCTGTTTCCTCTGTGATTATTTTCTCATTTTCTTATTTAACTTGTTAGTTCCTTTTTCAGTTTTATGTCAAGAACCTTTGCATATTTTGACTCTAAATCGCCATGATTCGTCGTATGTGGATCCAGTTCAAACAATTGGGGTTTCTGTGGAGGGAGAAAAGCTTAATCAGGTTTCGAATAGCATTTTAATGGCGGAAAATTGGCTAAGGACTCATGTGTTATCTCGTTATTCATCTGGTAATGTAAATTCCATTGTTGTTGCTAACGATCTTCTTTGTAATGAGAAAATCAGAAATCGAGAAGAGCTCGTTAGGTTAACTCTGGATGCAATGAAGAACATGTATTATTCTCTCACTAGATGGGGTTTACAGAGAGAAATTAAAGTCTCTGTTTCTCTCTCTTTCAATTGTTTACACCAATCACACCTTCAGGAAGTTTTCAGCTTCTTAGAGGATATCAACTCAACTTACACCATAAACACACCTCAAGTTTCTGATCAAACTCTTAGATTGTTGACTTCTGAGCTGAAATCGATGAAAGATTTGGGCGTTTTTCGATCGGAAACAGTAAATGTCATCTTCCCCATGTCAAAACAAGCAAAACCCACATCGAGAAAGCTTCAATTCCTCGACCCTTTGTGGTTCCCACCAACTCCGCCATCACAGGCGGTAGAATTCCCACCGGCGACGTTTACTCTACCCTTTCCACCAGAAACTCAGCCTCCAACGATGGCTCCGGCGAGCAGCCCCTCTCCACATCACATGTTCAATCTTCCACCCTGTAACCCATACCCTCATTTCTACCACGCTGCTCCACCCGTAGTCGGCAATGGTGGTGGACGAATGGCTGCGCCACCCACTGCGGGTAAATCAATGGCTGCACCACCGGCGTCAGGCGGTGGTTATGGGCAAGAAGGAATGTGGTGTGTGGCAAAGCCTAGTGTACCATCGGAAAAGTTGCAGGTGGCGATGGATTACGCTTGTGGACCAGGAGGCGCTGATTGTGATCCGATCAAGCCGAATGGGAGCTGTTATTCGCCGGATTCTGTTGTTGCTCATGCATCTTATGCTTTCAATAGTTATTGGCAGAAGAACAAGAAAAATGGTGGAATTTGTGGGTTTGAAGGAACTGCGATGCTCATTACTTCTGATCCAAGTAAGCATCCTTTCTTATTTCCATTTTCGCTTTTTAAAATTAGATAAGTGGATTTCATGTAAATATCATAAAAAGTGTGAATTTAAAATAAATTGACCATTATTTTATCAATACCACAAATTGATTATCTTTTTCAATATTTTTAATGTTTTTTTTTTCAAAAAGCAATTTTATCAGTTGTGAATTAATGATAACTTTATGTTTTATATAGGTAGAAAATTACAATTTCGTTAAATATCATTGCAATTTTTTTTAATCTCAATATAAGATAAAAGATGAATCATAATAATTAGTGGGTTTCTTATCTTACTATAGCTTTTTTTATGAACCGATTATTTTAATCTTTGATCGTTATAAAATCATTAGTTAGGTTTTCACGATTTGCATCATTAGCAAAATGTACAAAAACCATTATATTTTGGTTATTTTTATGATTTAACAGTTATATTTTAGACTTGTTAACAAAAACCACCGAAATTTGATAATTTTTTGTATGTCTAACCATTTTGTTATATGGCGCTAAAGTTGTTACTATAAAATTTTATCAAATTTAGTGTTTTTAGTGAAAACTTTGACACTAAATATTCCATTGAAATCACTAGCTTTGACAAAGTTTTCTATTGGAACAACTTTAACTTTGTATATATGGTCAAAATATAATAGGTCAAAATTGTTAATATAGAAAATTTTATCCAAAGATAAAGAAAATGACAAAATATAATTGCTTTTAATTTGACTCATCCCAAGTGTATTTATTTATAGTGTCTATCCCATATTAATGATGTGTATGATAATGATATTTGGCAGGTTTTCTTCGTTGTCATTTCATGCTCGACTAAGTTTAGGATTTTGCCGAATTGGATGAGAAGCTGCTTGATTTTTGGGCGCGTTTTGCAATCTATTGGAATAATTTTTATTTTACGTACCTTTTGTAACATATTTATAATCTATTAAATTTTATAATAATTTCATTAAGTATCGGGATATCGGGCTTTTATGCTATTTGAGAATAACAATAAACAACTTTCCATCGTATAAACTCATATATTTAAAGGAATAATAGAAATAAACGAAAACATAAGACGCTTTATATTATACCAATAAAAGTATATAATTATTCACCCGTGCTCTCTTATTAGATTACAAAAATTAACAATGATTTTCAAAAATAAAAAGATTTTCGATTTTTGAAAACCATTTGTGAAAAACATTTTTCAAATAATCTCCAAATTCAACTACTTCAACAAACGATATTTGCAAGCATGTAAAAACATCTAAGTTTTATACTTTGAGTTGTGTAACATCCTAAAAATCACGATAAAATTTTTATTTTTTAATTCAAATAAAATCGTTGCTTTAATCAAATCCAAGTCATAAAACCAAGTATCAAATACAATTATCCCAAAATCAAAGTATCATAAAATCTCCGAAACATATAATCGGAGGATATATACGGCCACACCTTCGTCTTGCCCCGATCATCTGAAGTATCTAAAACATAACACATAAATTGTAAGTCAAAGCTTAGCGAGTTCCCCTAAAATATCTCACACAACATAACATATACAATCATGAATGTTGGTTCCACGGTCATCCGACTGGATTACCCTCGGGTCCATAGCCATCAGGCTGGATTACCCCCAGCGCACAATTATCAGATTCGATTACCCCCGGCGCACAATTATTAGACTGGATTGCCTCGGCACAATCAGTCATCGGACTGGAATGTTCGAGTCTGTTGGCTTACGCACATAGCAGTAAAGCCTCAACTCATATCGCACTATGTCGACATATGCAACTGATAAATCATATAACAAAACAGATAATCATACAGATCTACAGACTACTACAACATAACAACATCTAATATTATAGGATACATAACTTAGTGGGTCAGCATTGGTACCTTCAACCCACGAGTACAATAAGGAAAAACTCACCTTAATGTCAGGAAGATAGTTGAACTGAATACTACTCCAACTAACGGCTCTACGGTTTACCTGTACAACATATAGGGACCAAGCCTCATTCTACTGTTCAAAATATCCCAAATGAGCTAAAGTCAACGATCAAAAGTCAAAGTCAAAGTCAACCTCAGTCGAACTCCATGTTGTGGCCATCCTTTAGCCACGCCATGGCTGATAGGTTCAACCAAATCAGAACCTAGTCTCGCATAAACCCGGATACATACCAAAATGCATAGCCACGTCATGGGTCCAAAGCACCATGCCGTGGAAGGGACAATCTCAACACAGCCGCAAAAAACCCCATCAACATGTCATGACACTCTACAACCATGTCGTTGGAGAACGTGAAGGCATAATTCTTTCCAAGGTCCTTAATCTGTAAATCCTTTCGGCTAATCTTTCTAGAAAGCATCTAAGGGTCCTATTGATCCCTAAAAATGTAAATTATATGGAAACGCATGCCCCATGCATGTCCTTCATCAAATCTAGGTTAAAATAGTATTAAAAATGGACCTAAACTCATGCAAGGATCCCAAACCACCACTATTTCTCAAATCTACAAAGTATAGTGTCCATGGAACTCCTAAGAGTCATAAAGTTTATCACTTTGCTTCACTCAAAATCTATCAACGAGTTCAATCATGCAAGATAACTCTATATCCATAAGTAAAAATGAAAAGCTTGATTAAAGATCCTTACAAATGATCTAGCAAAAGAATTCCATAGATTGGAGAGTGCACTTTGCTTGCTTCTTGCACTCAATCTTCTTCTACTTCCTTCAAAATCACACAAAAGGCTTGAAAATGAGCTCAAGAGCTTCAAGGTGGGTTAGGGTTAGGTTTCTGGGGATTGATAGTGATGGATGCTGAAGATGAGTAACCCTAGCCTCCCCACTTTCTTGTAAATACTTGAAAAATTAGGGTTTTCATGATAGAGGGTCGCCATGCCGTGGCTAAAAGATGCCACGTCGCGGGGATCATTAAATGACCCGCGAAACTTCCAGCAACACCACGTCGTGGGATGCTTTCAACACGACTGGTCACTCCCAAAATCCAAATTACATTAAAATCAAATACCTCAAAGAATACGGATATTATAATTCTCCCCCACTTGAATCAGACTTCTTCCTCGAAGTCTGGTGTTGCGGATAGCTCATGGTAGTGCTCTCACATCTCTGCCTCGGGTTCCCAAGTCTATTAGGAATCCTTTCGATGCTGCCACTGAACCTTGACCAATGATACCACTATGTTGCACAAGTCCTTCGTCTCTTATCCAAAATTGCCACTGGCATCTCAACATAGTTCATGCGCTCATCAACCAGTATGTCATCCAAGGGACCCACTATAGAATCGTCAGTTATACACTTTTGTATTTGAGACACATAAAAAGTGATTGTGAATCTGACTAAGCTCCTCAGGAATATTCAATCGATAGGCTACCCTACCTACCTTGGCTACTATTCGAAACAATCCAATAAATCGAGGACCCAACTTCCAGTGAAAACCACTCAAACTGGGAAAATCTAGAAACTGCAACTGAACTGACTTATACATCACCAAATCGGGAATCCATCAACTTAGAATTTCGAAGGTAAAACATACTAGCTGATGATCATCCATTTTAAACCGCCTAAAAGTTCTCAGGTACACACTTGACTTCCTGCCAAGTCATCACCATCCTATCGCTTCTACGGGCGTATCAGTGGTCAATCCGCAAGAAAGTCTGGGGCAACATACATACTCCCATGCACTCATGGGTACAATTTTACTACAACTTATTCAAGTTTCCTACAACTAACTCTACCGATGGAAACTCAACTCACTTGAAAAACCAATCTTACAAAAACGGATAAGGATCCACTAAGGAACTCCACGAGGATTCCTCACCGTTCACATCCTTACCCAATCTCAGCCATGAAGATTCCCGAATAGCGTCCGGTGGGCCTATATACATATGACCATCATCCCACCGACTTGCAGGAATGCAGAAAACGTCCTGCATAACACTTACAAAGACCACAAGATCCATACCATACTACAATACACAATCATTCTACAACCTCATAACCATTCTTGGTATGATCCAACTCATCCTATAGAATGTTACAAAACAAGTTGTAGACTTACCACACTCCACATTTGTCTACCAACCAATTGAACGTTACGGATACCCCGCGGTATCACAACACTTCCATAATATCTGTGGGCCCATCCCATGGTCTTGCCAACTACCTATAAGAAAACCTAATCAAAGATCAATATGAGCCGAACCCCTAACCTACTAAACCTTATCAGGCGTTCGGGTTGTGTTTTGATCCCCAAAGCCTTCATTAGACAAGAACATGCAGAGAGGTCGTAACACAACCCTCTTTCTGAACCTATCCATGGATCCCAAACATATCCTTACCTTTGCTTCACTTCCCCAAATGAGATAACCCAAATTCCTTAATCTTTGATTCCCTAATTACAACCAAAAACCAACTATTCTCTTTCCCTTAGATACAAACTCCAAGTTAAATCGAACATGAAATTATTTCTGTTATTCCCAAGCGGTTCTCCCCCACTTGGAATCATCCACTCCTTAACGACTTCAAGTATTCCACTATGCACCCACCATTCATAATGTCCAAGCCCTAAGATTTCAAGTTGTGATCCCCATCCATATCAAAAAGCATTCCAACCATAAAACCTTCTCAAAGTAATATTTCCAATTTAAATAATGGAACAGATCCAATAATTGCTCAATTGATTGAATCAAACTTCCTAATTGAAGGAAACTTCATAATTAACCTAAATGCTATCAGAACCGAGATCGGATTGACTCCTTTCCAACCTTACTGGCGCGACTCATCAAAATTAGATTTCATGTAGACCCGAAGTCCTTCTAGAAACTGGTCAACGTTGCTCCGACACTCTAATCATGGGTCTAGAAATATTCATTTCTCCATATTTGAAGAATGATTTGTGCACCCACAATCTCGTCAATTGATACTACTTGAAAATTTTCGAACAATCTCAACCACTAAAGCAAAGCCGTGTAGAAGTGCATCCTCCACACCTTGAAATAGTTTGATAAATCCATAATAGCTCTACCCTTATTAATAATAGCAATTGGTTCAACGAACTAACCAGTCCTTCAGTTGATATACACCCGGAGTGAAACGCGCTTCTCTTAACTCTATTCTGTTGTCCCAGATGGGACAACCAGCTACAACAAGATCCTGTCTAGAAGATTTCAGCGCAAGGACTACGTGTACAGCCCTGAAAACAAAATTTTGATAGCAACTCATCCTGAACCTGCTTCTGGTCAACCCGCAATCCTCTTCACCATAAAATCTCGACAATCTTGAACACCAGAATCCAGCGAACTTACACTGCAACTTCCTTCGGACATTGAGTTGGAACCATCAACACCAATTTGGTTGCTCGTCCTTCAAGCAGAACACTCAATCACCCCCCCCCCTACTGAAGTCTTGTTTCCTTATTGACCGAAGTAATCCACGTCGAAACCTAAGACTGGTTTATCAATATACTTTCTAAACACAAATCTCGGTATGCAAAATGGCATATGATAATTCCTCAATAATAACCAACAATCGCAAAGAAATCCTAAACCTTAGATGGAGACGTTAGAGACTTTACTTTTAACATCTGGACTCCCAGGTATCTTATTTTATGCTTTAATATTGAGTTTTTTGGGGAGAGACTCGGCGAGTAGGAGCGCGGATGGCCAGACTGATTTAATGGCGGACTCGGCGAGTCCACGTTGTTTAATGAAACCCTAATCCCTGAGTTTGAGACCTATTTAAGGGGCTTATAGCCACCATTTGCGGCTACCAGACCCTTGATAGAAACCCTTATTGTGCTTGAGCGATTGTGAGACAGAAGAAGCCATTATTGGACCTTTGTGGGTTTGTTATACAAGAAGAAGTTGATTCCAGCTTGGAGGAGGCCAAGGACGTTGCATATTCGTGGATTTCAAAGCAGAGGGCATCATCTTTGAGGTAGCATATCGACCCTCTTTCTGTTTTGTTAAAGCATCCATGGATCTAGGGTTTCCTATG